TAACACTTTATTTTCGAAAATTAAAGTATTGTTGTCTTAAAGTTTATTAATAATTTTTAATTTAACATGTATGTAATTGTAAATATATTTTTTTAGAATTTGTGTAATTAAATTATTTGTATAGTTTTAGCGAATTACTTATAATAAATTCACATCAAATAAATTAAATTAGCAAATTATAAATGTATGTGTTAGTAATAATATATTGTTATTAATAAGTAATATATTAATTATAAATAAATATTAAAATATTAAAAATCAAGCTGTATGAAATTAATTTTCAAAATATTTATGTATGTTATTACAATAAATTGCAAACAATTGTAAAACATAAATGTTCATCGAACAATACCTAGAAGGCTGTATACCTAATTGAACAATAGAATCCGTTTGACGAACGTGACCGTTCGAGGAACGGACGATTCAAAAATAGACCCCTAAGTCAGTGGCGTAGCGAAGGGGGTGGACTCCGGATCCGGTCCACCCCCTTGGCATGTATAATATTATATTTTTTGGATTACGACAAGTAACGTTGTAGCTACAGTTAAGTAATTCATACCACAATGTGATTAATACTATCAAATTTTCATGTTATCTGTTGCCTTAATAATTATTATCATAACCATTGTTCTAGAACACCTGTATCAGCAACTATGTTTAAAATACATTTAGTCTTTGATCTGTTATCAAATCATTTATTGTTATCGTAACAGTTTTGAAATAATAACAAATTAGTATTAATGTTACAATTGTAGTTTTTTGTTTTTTAGTACTGTTGGTTTTTCCAGTTTAAATTATTGAAAATTAAAAATGAAACGTTTTATAAACGATTATTTTAAAGCTAGTAATCCCAATCAAAGTGCTCCCTTACCTACTTTAGTGAAGTGTTCTATAATTACCAATGTTTCAAGGGAAACGGAAGACAACATTCACAGCCCGTTTGATATAACGAAATATATTGGTAAACATATGTCAAATAATGAAAAACTTGAAGCACTTAATACATTTTGGATCCCAAGTAAAAATTATAATTTTCCTATTACGCTTAATGGCAATAAAAATTAAAAATTTCAACTTTCTTGGTTTGAGAAGTGGAATTGGATTGCTTATAGTAGTTTAGTTGATGGTGCTTATTGTAAGTATTGTGCTTATAGTAAGTATTTACTATAAAATATGGTGGAAAAGGAAGTTAATTGCTTGGGCAGCTTTGCAATCAACCATTAAAGAATTGGAAGCACGCTACTGAAAAATTTAAATCACATGAAAGCACTAATTATCATATCAACTGTATATTAAATTATCAATCCTTGTCAAAAGTTGTTTCAGGGCAAACAACTTCTGTGTACGATCAACTAGATATAGCTTCAAAACAACAAAAAGAAGATAATAGAAAAATCATTTTGCCTGTTATTAAGTCTGTGATATTCTGTGGTCGTCAGAAAATAGCAATTAGAGGTCATCGAGATTATGGCCCTTTGGAATTAAATGAACCAACAGAAAATGATGGTAATTTTCGGGCGTTATTAAGATTTTATATAAATGCAACTAGAATATCAGAAAATAATAGCCATGTATTAGCACGAGAAAACTGTAAAAAGAATGCTCAGTATATAAGTCCGCAAATACAAAATCAGATTGTTGATGCTTGTTATATAGTCGTGTCAAAAAAAATTGTGAAAAAAATTAATGAATTTTAATATTTTTCCATAATTTCTGATGAGACTGCTGATGTAATTCTACTGATAATACAATTCATGAGGACTTTTTAAAGTTTGTACCCGTTCATGATGTGAGTGGTAGAACTCTAGCAAACACCATAATTGATGAACTAAAAATAATAAATAATAAAAACTGAAATAATAAATCTAATATAATTATAGTACTTGGCATAAAAAATTTAACTTCTAGAATCTTTTAGCTTCGATGCGAAGCTGAGAAGGTATTGGTTTTACTATGATGTGTTTTTTTTTTTTGTGTCTGTTATCACTATTTCTCAGCTCTCACCGAACGGATTTCTTTCAACGATACGTCAAAAGATCACAAATTGTATCTAGTCGAAGACATTACCCTTCAAAATTGAAAAAATTTCCCTCGTTCCCCGTAAATGGGGGAAACCTCCAAAAAAATTACAAATTTAAAAATCGCTAATTTTCGAAATTTTTTCAATTTTTTTTACTAAAAACTGCCGTAACTTTTTCAAAAATGAACATATCAATATAATTTTTTTTTATATAGATGCTTGATGTCTTTATTTATCATTTGGTATATTTTTTTTGTAAATCTGACACTTAACCTGCCCACAGGAGGGTATTTAAAATGACAACTTTTTCACAACAAATTTACTTTTTCAACATAAATTTTGAAAATGTTCCGGAAGGTCTGACACTTTTATATATATCTTAAATTAAAGCTAATGTAATATACTTTAATTTGAAAAAAAAAATTTGACCTCTGGACTTTTCTTTACGGCGAAAATGGCTACCGAATGCTATTTNACTTTTCTTCACGGCGAAAATGGCTACCAAATGCTTTTTTCGTGTGAAAATTTTCGATTTTATTATTTATATTATATTTAACTTTATAATGCTATAACTTATTGAAAAGTTTATGGATCCAGAAAATTTTTTTATGACAAATAATATTTTTTAATAAACCCTTTTTCATTCGACATACTTTATCTTAATCAGGATATTAATAAGGAACCAGCAGATCAAGTAGCTTTTGGAATAAAACACCAATTTTTTTAAAATTAAACACTATCTAAAGATTTGCATCGAAGCGTTTATTTTTGATAGTGATTTTAATCACTGTCAGATATCATTTACTTGATCCAACTATACCATGTCACCACTGTGCCGCGACCCCGCTGTGCTGGGTTGTTTTTAAAGTTTGTACCCGTTCATGATGTGAGTGGTAGAACTCTAGCAAACACCATAATTGATGAACTAAAAAGTTTGAACATAGACATTAAAAATTTAAGAGGTCAAGGAATATGATGACTAGGGTGGCCCTC